AGGCCCCACAACCGGAACATACCATCTCAAGGCTCGAGCTGTGTGGAGCCATTCTTGCTACAGAGGTGGCGGAACTGATCTTAGACGAATTTGACGTCAAACTGGACGCGGTCAAGTTCTACACGGACAGTAAGGTCGTACTAGGCTACATAAAAAACCAAACCAGAAGGTTCTACACCTACATCAGCAACCGGGTGGAGCGCATCAGGAGATCGACGCAGCCGGAGCAATGGAATTACGTTCCAACTGACCAGAATCCAGCAGATCTCGCAACTAGGTCCGTCCCTGCATCTCTGCTGAATCAAACCATCTGGCTGACGGGTCCAGCGTTCCTGTTACGACGTGATGGTGGCCCATGTACTACCAAGGAGACCTTTGGACTCATAGAGCCCGAGTCCGACAAGGAGATTCGTCCTCTAGTGACAACTTTCGTAACAAATGTGCGACCAAGAAGTCCACTGAGTCCACACCATTTTGAACATTTCTCGAAATGGACGACGCTCGTGCGAGCGATAGCACATTTAACGCATATCACAGACTGCTTCCATCGCCCGACGAGAGGCACCACTGGTAGCTGCAATGGATGGCATTACTGCACAATGCCACACACTGAAGACGAGCTTTCCAGAAAAAGGAAATCAATCTTCCGCTGTGTGCCACAGGCAGCTTATGCGAGTGAGATCAAGGCCATCAACAAGGGAGAAGACCTTCCTAGGGTCAGCACCCTCAGGAAGCTAAACCCCGGGATGGACAAAGACGACTTGCTCAGGATCGGTGGTCGGCTAGGGAATGCAAAATTAGATGAGAATGAACGAAACCCCCTCATAATCCCAAGCCAGAGCCACATCGCAATCTTACTCGTGCGCCACTTCCACGAGAAGGTCAAGCACCAAGGTCGGCACTTCACAGAAGGAGCAATCCGATCTGCAGGGCTGTGGATTGTTGGAGCAAAGAGGTGCATCGCCAGCACAATCCACAAGTGTATCCGGTGTCGCAAGCTACGTAGAAAACAGGAAGAACAGAAAATGGCAGACCTCCCAGCCGATCGACTCAGTGTGGAACCTCCCTTCACCTCTGTAGGGATTGACGTGTTCGAACCGTGGACAGTCATCTCCCGCCGCACCAGAGGAGGGCTTGCGAACAGCAAACGTTGGGCAGTGCTGTTCACCTGTATGAGTACACGAGCAGTGCACATCGAAGTCATCGAGTCCATGGACTCTTCGAGCTTTATAAATGCACTCCGGAGGTTCTTCGCCATCAGAGGGCCAGCCAAGCAACTCCGTTCTGATTGTGGAACCAATTTCATAGGAGCATGTAAAGAGCTTAAGATCAATATGGAGAATGTCGAAGATTATTCTGTCAGGAAATACCTTAGTGACCAAGGCTGCACATGGATCTTAAATCCTCCCCACTCTTCGCACATGGGTGGAGCCTGGGAACACATGATTGGGATTGCTCGACGCATTCTCGCCTCCATGCTATGTGATGTCGGGTCCACACGGCTCTCTCACGAGGTCTTGACCACTCTCATGGCCGAGGTCTCAGCCATAATTAACTCAAGACCCCTGATCCCCGTCTCAACCGACCCGGAGTCACCATTCATCTTGCCTCCTGCTACACTTCTTACCCAGAAGACAGATGTGCTCACAGCACCTACTGAGGAGGCCAGCACTGCAGACCTCTACAGACGTCAATGGAGACAAGTGCAGAGCTTCGCGAACACGTTCTGGCGTCGCTGGAAAAACGAGTATCTTACGACACTCCAAGTGCGCAACAAGTGGCAGTCTAATAGACCAGACATTCAAGAAGGCGACCTCGTCCTACTGAAGGACAACCAAGCCAAACGGAATGAGTGGCCAATGGGCCGCATCCTCAAGTCGATTCCAAGTGCCGATGGAAAAGTTCGAAAGGTCGAGGTTATGATTGCGAAGCAAGGAGTCGCAAGAACTTTCATCAGGCCCATAGTCGAGATAGTACTACTTCTCTCTCGCAAAGATATGGACAAATAAGTCGACCCGTTGAAATTGTTATACACTTGTTTATGAGATAGGAAATAAATGGTGGTATCTCCTAAATACCAGACGGGGAGTGTCTTGCCTCACGGCAGATGGGGAGCGTACGTTAACAGGAAGTTCCTGTTTTTTTATGCTAATGTTGGTCACGTGACCAGGAAGTGACGATGTTAGATTTCCACTGTACCACGCGGGCGTCAGCCATTACACAGATAAGTCAAGATGGCGGCACGCATCGCATCTCAGTGAGACCACAGCCGCACTTGTCCATTGTGGGAGCTTAAGAAGCATTATCTGTAAGTTGTTTATATTCTTATAATATTGGAAATTCTGTTGTAATGTTGGAATGACCGTTATAGCAATGTAAATGCCTTTATGGTGCCGTTAAGTTGTTGTAGTAAATACGAGGCCTAGTTAGTAACGAAGCCTATGACTTTCCTTATTGTGGATGTTACTTGTGATTTAGTAGGTCGTGTCAGACTTGTGCCTATGTTGCGATCCTGAGAGTGATGACGAAGTATCTCATCCACAGTTTAGTGTTAAGTGTAATGCTGTACATTTGGGGTGCAGTGGGATGAATACACTATGTGCCTGTATGCAACGCACCAGCTTGTGCCTTTGTCTAGTTGTTCAGGGGTAATGTGGGGGCCTGGTCCTTCTAGGATCTATTGTTATCTGAGACAATGTTCTGATGCTGTGGTGTTCATTGTGTGGGTGTTTCCGAATTATAACAGATGCTGTATCTGTGTTTTCTCACCAGTTTTACCTGTTACAATCAATAAATGACGATCGGAGTTGGACGGTCATCCTGGCTCCGAGGGTTTATTGAACACATGGTTATCTACTCGACTAGCGGTGCAACGCAGCGCACAGCGAGGCCGAGATATTATTATACAATATCCTATACACTATACCATTGACCGTCGCGTGGAGGTACTAAGAGGAAGCAACGAAATATGTCAATGGGAGAGTGGTGATAGGAAGCTTGCAGCGGAGCAAAGAATCCATTTCCTGCGGAGTGCTTTTCAAGAGGAATTTAGCATATTTATGGGAAATGCAGATATGCGATTAGTACTACTTGTGAAATGCATAGGAGGCCCGGCGAGGGGCCAAAGTCATTATGCCCATGCACCTTCTACATGACTTTACCGAAAGAACCAAGAAGATGAATCCCTGCAGTCACGAAAGCTTTAAATCGAAACCATCCCCACCGTCAAACATGGAGGTGGAAACATTATGCTTTGGGGGTGTTTTTCTGCTAAGGGGACAGGACAACTTCACCGCATCAAAGGGACGATGGACGGGGGCCATGTACCGTCAAATCTTGAGGGAGAACCTCCTTCCCTCAGCCAGGGCATTGAAAATGGGTAGTGGATGGGTATTCCAGCATGACAATGACCCAAAACACACGGCCAAGGCAACAAAGGAGTGGCTCAAGAAGAATCACATTAAGGTCCTGGAGTGGCCTAGCCAGTCTCCAGACCTTAATCCCATAGAAAATCTGTGGAGGGAGCTGAAGGTTCGAGTTGCCAAACGTCAGCCTCGAAAACTTAATGACTTGGAGAAGATCTGCAAAGAGGAGTGGGACAAAATCCCTCCTGCGATGTGTGCAAACCTGGTGGCCAACTACAAGAAACGTCTGACCTCTGTGATTGCCAACAAGGGTTGTGCCACCAAGTACTACGTCATGTTTTGTAGAGGGGTCAAATACTTATAACATTTTTGACATGCGTTTTTCTGTTTTTTGTTGTTGTTATTCTGTCTCTCACTGTTCAAATAAACCTACCATTAAAATTATAGACTGATCATAAATCCATGTCTGACTGGCTCTGGCCAAACCAAACACTCGATAAAAATGCAATTTTCAGTTTGGCTGAGTTCAATGTTTCATTGGGGTGAATATTTTATATAGAAAGGCCTCTTGGAGGGTTGGCACCAAGTATGTGAGCCTTACACAGCACTGAGATGTCTGCTGCTAGAACGAGTATGAGGCACCAGAGTCACTTCACGTCACTTCTGAAGGCCAAGGTTAACACATGGCAATGGTTAGAAGGAAGGCGCATCTTGTGGTTGGCTGTGATGAGCCAGACTTCATCCCAATGGAGGCAGATCAGGTATAGAATGTGGAATTGCACAGAACCATATGTCCTTCACAGAATGCTGCATATGCCGTTTGCAAAAAAAGGAAATAAATAACTAGTGGCCGGATGTAAAAATTATCAATAACCAGTAATAATTAGATGTATAGAGTGCTTACATGCAATGCATCCCAGAGCACTATGCTAGACTCAGAGAACAACAGGATCATCAAGACAAAAAATAAAAGAGAGGAGTTGAAAAATGCAGGAGAGATTTGATAACTCTACTAACTCAGGCTGAGCCACTGAAGCTCAATACCAACACATCCGAAGAACAAACCCCCCAAATTACACCGCGGATGCAAGACCAGCTGCAGTCCACTGTCAGAATCACACAATCCACCCCAACCACAATGATGACACCTATCCCTGTCCCAAAGGTCGCACAGAGGGGGCCGGCACTGGCAATGCCCAGCCCCAACAAGCCACAGAGAACTCAGCACCACTTCAGCATAGTCCCAGCAAGTTGCAGACAACACAACACTAGCACCGCACAGCTCCATCAAAGCCCCAGAGAGCTCTGAGCCCAGTCAGTGGCAACGCATTTAAGGTCTTACACTTACACAGCCGTAAAAAACGGCAGATATTGCCCATGTTACACAGGCTGGCTCGCAATGGCAGCCATTGCTCACTGATATTAATATCCCTGATTATGAAATATCTGTGATTATTAAACTAACTTGACCATTTTGAATGAAATAAATGGATGCAAGCAGATGATGTGAGTAGGGCATGTGCATTATGAATGTCAAAATGAATTGAGTGCTGGATAAGAATTGTAAATGTGAGTAATGGCTGTGGATTGCTGAAGTGGTGTACAGTATGTGGGTATAGGATGTGAAATCCTCACCCCTCCAAGGCCTGGATTTGAATGAAGTCCGTCTCTTTGCCATGAGGGCGGAATCGCATGTGGGTTTTCTTCTCAAACTCCTCTACAGCCTGCTCGATGGCTTTCACATCGTAGTCATCTGCAAGACAGTGAGACATTTCATAGCACTGGACTTCATTGCAATGCTCATACATAATTTTCCATGAATATTCACTGATTAATACACATAGGGGGTTCAAACACCTTGATATTAATTAAATGCCCATGTTATCATTATAATGCTTTGCCCTAAATCGCACAAGCTCGAGCTCATGAAACCCCTCTCCCCAAACAGCCAGATGCTGGCTTTAGGTCTACTCAGAAAATCCAAATCTAGTGGAGACTAGAGTCATGTCTTCACTGTTATGGGCAGGGATATGTTTAAAACAGAGTAACACATTACACACCGACTTGTAAACGTACTGCAGTGATCGAGGCAAACGTAGTGACGCCTTTATAATTTATCTTTGCAAGCTTAATGGCAGTAACTGAAAAAGTTATTTACTCATTTTATTGAGGTAAACAATGGTCTGACACATGAATCATGCAATAGCGATGCTATAAATATGTATATTCTATGATGTGTTGATCCCTTATAGTCATCAAAGTGCATTTTCATATTCACCGAATATTATAATTCAAATAAAATTTGTGATCATTACAGTGGCAGAGCTACGGTCGATGTGGCATCGCGCACACAGTGCGTGGTCACGGGAGCGAGGTTGCCTGCCGCTCTCCCACAAGCGACATGCGTGTGGGCAGGGCTCACAGCACGCGTGACGAGTGCAGGTAAACGATACAACAAACTTGAACCAGGACAGTGGCAACACTTGTAAACACGAGTTATCGAGAGTATCCCCGTAAAAATGGAAATGTACATTGAGGTAATCAGCCTCTCAAACTCAGCTATTATGATGAGACTAGGGTGTTGCTTAGAAGAAAACAAAAAAAACATTAAATAAGCCCTGCCGCAGAGCACTGACGCACTGACAGTTCATGAGGTCAATGCAACACTTACAGAAGTCCTTGGACACCTTGTAGGGGATGTACACATGGTCATCGCCGCTCTTGGGCCAGTGCCTGACTGAGCGTGAGAGGCTGCTATCCTTGACTCCACACCCGATGAATTCTGAAGCCAGAGCGAGAGAGGGGGGGGGGTGCAGAATGCTCACGTGGGAATCTCTCCAGGCACAGCCTGGGATTCTCCCTGCCTCACATAGAGGCAGGGAGAAGCCTACTGACATGCAATGTGCAAACTTCGCAAAAGTCAACTAACACAATGACAATTATACCCTTTGTTTGGTCAGTTCATTATTTGGCATGCGGGAGGAAGCCAGAGTACCCACAGAAATCCAATATATATGCAGGAACACCACTGAAAGCTCCACACAGATGGATTCAATGCACTTGTCATACTGCCATTTGGTTGCAGCCATGCAGGTGTGGGAGTCTCACAAGTCTGTGTAATTCTCACCCCACAGCCCCAAGGAGTGGGACTACAGGGTGCATTCCACCACACCAGGCTCAACGTGACTTTGTTGTCTGAGTCTCTCACATTCATTCAGAAGATCTGAAGCCAGGCTGCAGTAAATGTTCGCAAGTGACAGTGGTGGCAATGGAGGCCGATCAAGAAAGGCGCTGCGCTCACTGCACTGGGCACGTGGAGAAGGTGGATTCCTCCCGTGGGCCCCGTGAACCTGAACAAGGCCCCGTGGTGCGTACCTTTCACTTTCTTCTCTGCAGCACGGGGAAGCTGAAATAAAATGAAGAAATAATAATTAGGCAACAAGAAATTATTAAAAAAAACAGAAAAGGAATTGCATAATTATCACACTTGTTTACCCAGGAGGGTCCTGCTGAGTTTTCACAATCAAAATAAACTACTATAATATATACCAGGTAAAGGCCACTGAACTATATAGCTATTTTCAGAAGAGATCTGGCCACAAAAGATAGCACAACGAAGCGGCTTATCATGTGGAAATTTATAGAAGCCAAATAATCTAAATGCATGTTTCTAAACATGCAGGGGAAAACGGGATGGCCTGGAGAAAAATTCAAGCGACCATGGAGAGAACATGCAAACTCCAAATATATAGACATCAGAGCTCCTGCATACCAGGTGATGGAGATAAAATCTAACCACCGTGGCACCCCACAGAAGGAGATGATGAATGCTATGTATATTCCAATTTCAGAAATCTGTAAAATGTAGACCACGGGATCTTTAATGTCCACTGTAAAGCAAACGCCACTTATTCTTACAGCTAATGCACCAGCAGCATTAATCAGAGCGGCCGCTGGATTTCAACTTTGAACTTCTGCAACAAGCGGCAAACACCCCACCGCTTGGTTGAGTCACTACCCCATGGAATGAACCTGCCGTGTCATGGCGAGTGTTACGAGGGTTTATATGGGGACAGCTCAGGCTGTAGGTTTGCTTCACTATAAATACAAATATTTCTACGGAAGTCAGGCTGTGCTCTGCTAGATCATGGAATTTTGCTGCAGACCTCACCGTCATTTTGTGGCTTGAGACATCAGCTTCTCTGTATGCAGCGCTGGCTCCTGCTGGGGTAACGCACAGAGAGGAATCGGCGAACAAGCTCGTGCACAGTGCACATGGGCAGGATTGTCAACACACGCAGCAGTACAGACAGCACCATCTCCAAACACTCCGGGACTGCATTGCCTGTGGGTATGAGGCTTTGTAGGTATAACGGTCTGTGGGTATAAGGATTTGTAACATCATTATCATTACCATAATTATCATCTGCTGATCAAAGTGTTCCCATGTTCATGTGCCTCTGTGTACCGTATCGGTCACAACCCACAATCAATTCCTTCCTTCTTAATTTTAGAACTTTCGTGACTGCAGGAATTATTATTTGGTTCTTTCGGTTAAGTCACGTCTAAAGATAAAATAATAAATTAAATTAAATAATAGCATACGACGTTTCGATTGCAACACAAGCAATCATCATCAGGTATAAAGAAATAGCGACATAAAATCTAACCAGAAAACTATAGACAGACATATTAGCAGACAGATATCACCAAGATACATAGAGAGAGCAACACAGGTAACAGAGAGGGGTGATCATCTCTGTGGGGTGGCCTTAAATAGACAGAGGGGGGAGGAGGCAGAGAGAGGGAGGGGGTTAGAGAAAACATTTGCATATCAATGAGTGGACAACAAAACAAGGTGCTGCAAGTGCGATGACACGGCAAGCAAGCCTGAAAATCAGGAGAAGGACAAACTAAAATTCAATAACCTAGTAAAATATCGAAATGTAATGTAATACAACACAGAGGGTCGGTCAACACACAATTAACGCATAGCCTGGTTGATTACGTATTTCAAAGATTGCTAAGTTAGAATTTAAGTGTGAACATTCCAAAGAGAGGACACAGGCAGAGAGAAGAGAGAGAGAAAAAAACGATAAGCTTAAAACTTCCCCGTAGAAGTGGTTCAATCTTAATTTTAGAACTTTCGTGACTGCAGGAATTATTATTTGGTTCTTTCGGTTAAGTCACGTCTAAAGATAAAATAATAAATTAAATTAAATAATAGCATACGACGTTTCGATTGCAACACAAGCAATCATCATCAGGTATAATGAAATAGCGACATAAAATCTAACCAGAAAACTATAGACAGACATATTAGCAGACAGATATCACCAAGATACATAGAGAGAGCAACACAGGTAACAGAGAGGGGTGATCATCTCTGTGGGGTGGCCTTAAATAGACAGGCTATGCGTTATACCTGATGATGATTGCTTGTGTTGCAATCGAAACGTCGTATGCTATTATTTATCTTTAGACGTGACTTAACCGAAAGAACCAAATAATAATTCCTTCCTTCTGACAGATTTGCTGCAATAATCAAGTTGACACCTGCCTTCCAAGGTGTTTATTACATTGTCTCATCGTCTGGTTTAAAGTCTTCTAGGTGCTGTCTCCAATGGCTGTCTTGCCCATGCTTGACAATCATCACTTCCCTTTCAAGATTGCATCTACAACCCTGTACAGTATTGATATGTTATATTCTGAACATCCACATTGCTTACCCTACACTGCCATGGATTTCTATAATGTTCTGTCTATAACTGAGTTTGGAGGTCAGCAGCTTCTATCCCCATTGCTGTGTTCAAGTCCAGCTCTCTGACCCATACAGTAAGATGGGCCACTACCCCTGCATCACACATCTCTTCACGTGAACATTCACATCTCTACTCTTCCCAAATGCTTCATGTAGTCCATCAAAATCCATGCCCTACTAGCAGACTATCTCTTGACCTCCTTATCACAACTCCCAATGTTGTGCAAATGACTCCATAAATACAACGAAGCCTTTGAGTTCTTATGCCTGACTGCGATAAAGTATCACGTCTTACCGTGGAACCTGCGATGAAGGTGCCCAGACCCATCCCTAGCTACTGCTATCGCCTCTTTTTTAAAGATCACCTGAAGCCCCAGGTTTCTCAGGACATATATCAGAGTGATGAGTATCATATCACAGCGACATGAATGCTGAACACAGAGAATATATAAAATAGAGTCACTGAGCTGACTTATTCTGCTGCTCTTGTAATGAGGAGCCTTCCCCATATACTGCGCGTTATGAATTATAATTGTAATTAACGTCACCCGCTATAATCTGGCCTCCAATTCCCAAGGTGTTGCTCAGCGATGGCTCTGCAACAACGGGAGCTACGCGTTGGCTTTGCCAAGCGGGAGGTGTGCAACCCGGCCGGGCGGCGAGGGAGGAGCGAGCGTCAGGGTTGTGCCGGCGCTGTGGCCGAAGCTGCTCGGCTCGCTCTGTGGGCGCACATCGCTACAGAGGCCCCACCTTGCGAGCCGCCTGCTGTCTCAGGGCAGGGCCTCCACGTCGGACATCGCCACAGCTGATGGCTTCTCTCTGTAGTACCTCGTGATTCGTGCTCAACGAATGCACTCTGACATGTGGTTGTCATATGGACAGTGCAGTAGAGGATGATCAGGAGGATGATGATGAATTGGAACTCATTGCTGCTTTAATCAACGAATGCAGGGGCAGTGTTGTATGTGTTGTGATTATGAAATTTGATAAAAATAATAAAAATTAATATTTTTCAGAAAAATGCGCAAATCGCATAAATTATGATAATGTATGTAATTATATGCATAAATTATGATAATCACGGAGATAATCGTAGTAATTAATGCGGATGCTTGCGATTATGTTAATGTGTGCAGTTATGATAATTAGTCTTAGCTTCGTTATCTAGAGTTGTATCAATCAGGATAAAACGATTATCTTTGATCAAACATTTACTGATTATCTTAGTGTGTTTATGTTATGTTAGGTCTCCAACTTCATATCTCATCGAAGGTAACAGTACATATGAATAAGACAGTTTTGCATGGACTTGGAAAGAAGCACTCGAACGCTTGGTGTTAAGCAATTTTAATTCTAAACAAACATATGACACTCTAGTATGCAAAGGCAATTAACGAAAATGAATGACTAAAACATTTCTTATTCATGTAACTCGAAGGCAGCAACTGCCTCGCACGATCAGTTGATATTGAACGCACCACCTTGAAATGGCAACCCTTTTTGAAACACAAAGATAACTTTTTGAAAGTCTTATTCGTGTGCGTGTTGTGTGTGCGTTGTCCCCTTGTAAAATTAATTAAATTTTTCTTAGAGCCGGGAGTTGTGTCGTTAGCTTGTGGGGTGTGGGAGGGAATATACAAACAGCGGCCAGGTTCTCTCTGGCTTGGGCGTGGCCGCAGTGAGCCCCTGCTGCTCCCTCGCTCGGGCGTGTCTCTGCTCGTGCGCTCTCACTCTCCACTGCTGGACGACGAGTTGGCACGACGCTCGCCGGCGTGGTGCGCGATGATTCCGTCGTCGCGGCTGTTCTCACTGGGTGTTGGTCGGTGTGTGTATCAAACACACGGCGCATTCGATGGCGCTCTTTCTCTCTTGGTGGCAGCTCCAGGCTTCTCCACTGCGGCGGTGCGCGATATCGTCGTCGCTCTCTCCTTGATCGCTGCCAACTTCACACGGACACTCGCCCTTGCTTCAGGCTGTGTTGGCTTGTGGCTCTGGACGATGCGGTTGTGCGCGCTCACTAGCTTGGAGCGCTCTGGCGATGAACGATGGCTCTTGTTGCTCATCCGCTGCTGCTCGTCCTTTTCGATGCTCGCTTGGTCGACGCTTGGCGATTTCCGCCCTTTTACAGGTTGATTGCTTGTCGTCACTCGTCACTCTCTCTTCTCCGTGCTTCCCTTTGTTCGTACAGCTGCCAGCTTCACTCGCACTTAACTTCGTTCTGCGAGAAGCGACACCTGCTATCGGCATCGGTGTTTGCTCCCTCACGACGCTCCGCCAGCCGGAGCACGGCTGAAACCCAGCCTCGATCCAGGTTGATCTCTCGAACGACCCCTCCTCGTTCCATCACTTCTCGAGGCACGACGCGCCCCAGCACCTTGCGAGCCCCGTCGCAACGCTGAGTCGCAAGCCGAGTCGCGAGACTGAGCGCGACTTGAACAGACTGCACTCAGGCTGTCACTATAACGACCCCTCGTCGTCCCATCTCTCCTCGAGGCACGACTGCCACAGCTCCCTTGCGAGCCCCGTCGCAACGCCGCGTCGCAAGCTGAGTTGCGAGACTGAGCGCTACTCGAACCAGACTGCTCATTCGTGATGTGCGCTTGTGCTTAAAACTCAAAACGTGACTCCCCTCTCTGCGCATCTCTTGCGAGAGGAACAACAACGAGAGAAACAGATGCCCTCGGAATGTCAGGCACAGACCCCCCCCCCCCTCGCGACCTTTTTACTCCCTCCTTGCTCCCCCTTCGTGGGTCATCCCGAGGGCAGATCCCGCCATACATTTTATGGCACGCGTGTGTTCGTGTCAACCCGCTGGAAGACAAAGGTGGTCGAGGAGATTTATGCTATACATTATGTGGTGCTGTGTGTTACATTTATTCTTGATATTTCTTATGAGTTCCCTCGGTCTTAGTATATCGTGGTTATTATTCGTCTATGTTTAATGAATATTCGTAATGATCCTCGTTACATCATTATTTTCAGGGCTTCGCCAAGTTTAGTTCTCCAGGGATTGGTTTTTATTCTGAGTTATATTTTAATGTCCTGAGGTTAAGTGTAACTAAGGTTCCACTTAAGCTTTCTGGAATTCGTATTCTTTAGTTTTTAGGAAGGTCATGTAGATAGAAAACATACAATACTAAATAATATATATGCGGTGAATACGAGTAATATAAGGGAATTACTAATAAAAAGCCCCTATTGTTTATTGGTTAATTATTTTTGTTAAGTTTCTACTTTTCGGTAAGGAAAACGTTAAGGAAAACGCGAGTTGCAACAGTTGTTTTCCTTTGCTCTGCACCTTATCTGTGCATCTCCAGATGTCTTGGGAGGTTAGGCCATCGATCTTTTGTCCATCTGGATGTCTCTGACCTCTCTGTGACCGAATTCTTACCGTTTTAATGGCCCTCCATGTTTCATAGATTCCTGGTGTGCTTGTGAGGAGTAGTGGGTTGTTTTCATTATTTAATACAAAAAAATATATAGATATAAAAAAAAACATTTTTTTTGCCTAATTATTCTTAATATTAATAACGGAAAACAGGGCATAGATACAACAGCAGAAAGAGGATAGGAATGGGCACTGACTCGGTGACATCTCCCGTCGTGAACAACCAATACGGTGCATAGGCAGCGCACACACGGCCTGGCCAAATGTAAATTGTAAACAATTTCCTCATAAAATAACCAAGCTTCAAATGTACAGATACGCATACTCTGAGCAAGCGTATTGACAGGGCTCCCTAGGATGATATAACCATGAATCACATATCCGCATCTACACCTGCCCTGCCAGTGCTACTCAACGTGTTGACAATCAAGAATCTTATTCCTGCATTGCAATATGATTTGCTCACGGAGCGCTGGATCTGCGTCGCTGGGTCCCTGTGGTGCCGGCTCACAGCCGAACATCTTCTCGATCTTCTCCACGTCGCCCTCACTGAGGGTGTGGCCACCTCCAAAGCGACGCATGGTGCTTGTGTCCCTGGGCACCAGGGTCGGGCTGTGCTCATCTTTCGAGCCGGCAGTCCTGCGGAGTCATTTAAAATTGGAGTTCATTGCCAATGAAATAAGAGCAAATTAACACCAACGTCTCCATTGTAAAGCAGCTAAAGTCATAATTTATAATGTCATTTTGTGGGGTTTTGGCCAGTACAATATGAAGCAATGCACTATTCTTGTGAATGAAATCCTCATCACAGCCATGGACAATCCCTGAGCTGTTGAAAGCCTCCCCAAGTCATCACCATCCCTCACGGTGCCGCGACGCGCAGTCCGCCCAGCACTGCACAGGAGCCGATTTCATTGCCGATGTCCTCACAGCCTCCCTTGGCTGTCACTCCATCTTTAGTCTCGACCAGCAGCCATCATTCCGTCTATTAGCGGTTCCTGTCCAAGCTCACTTGCTTTCTTAACCATCAATGTCACATCTCTAACCTACGTATGTTCTCTATCACAAGTGTTCCTCGTTCTGTCTCTGACAATAATCGTAGAAATCATCTCCCCAAGCTTCTTTGTGCACTATGGAAACGTTTTAAATTTTCTTGACAATGTCCAAGTTTCTAAGCCAGATATGTCCTAGCAGGTTAGACACACTGATCACAAACTGTACTGACGAGACGCATTGCTATGTTACTTTTCGTTATCTAGTTCAGCCTTCCAGAAGCACTCCAGCCTGCCCTTGTCCACCGCTGTACTTCATCACTTTGCTGTCGGGATGTCTTTAAAAACAGAGATAAATGTACAGACATTACTGTGTTTCCCAGTTGTGTCTCTCTGACATTGTTGAACAAGTGAAATAAGGACCAATACCTCTGCAGTTGCCGATCATTGTTGTAACGCTGTGGGCTCACACGAAATTGATTTTTACAAGACGGAGGTACTCTGCAAACCTACCGGCTACCTCAGAGATTTGTTCATGAAGCCATCCAGATATATAAACACAGACACAACTTGAACTGAGAGGATAGGTACAAACTGAGCAATAATTGGAAGGACGTTATTAACCAGGTAAAGTCTTAACTGACTGTGATGTTACCATCCAACATGCATATGTTAGCTGTTATTTCGACTCTCTGTCTCTCTCTCTCTCTTTCTATGCCTCTCTCTTAGATCTCTCATGCTCACATGTCCGTTGCATTGCACTCTCTTGGCTTTGGATTGAACTCTCATGCTCACATGTCTTTTGGATTGCACTCTCATACTCACAGGCCCTTCGTATTATACCTGTTGGGTTGCACTCCCTCGTCGAGGAGGCCCATCTCTTCTCCTTCTTTTCTACAGTTACATGCTTATTTCTCACATTAACATCATGCTAATCCCTCACATTAACATAGCCACTTCCGTGCCCTCTAATTTCTCACTTTAACATCGTGCTAATCCCTCACATTAACATGGCCACTTCCGTTGCCCTCGTTTAGGAGGTCGCTCTTCTATCTTACAGTTACATGCTAATTTCTCACATTAACATCACTAGCACCGGCCACTTCTTTATAACCCTTGAGCTACACCCATTTCAAACCTTTTAAAACAGTCTGCCTCAGCAGCAGATCATGTTTTCCCACCTGATGACGGACGCTTGTGTTGCGCCCGAAACGTCGTGATTCATTCTATTTTATACCTACATGACTTTACTGAAAGAACCAAAGAGTAAGTGAAATAAGTTTGGCACTGGGCCCAACTGTGAGTTTATTAAGTCCTTCTAACATTGATGTACTTCATGCCCATTGGATGTTGCAATGACTCGACTTTCAGCAGTTGTAGATCGTGTTCATAATATTACAGAGCAAATGGAAGATACACAGAAGGGTTGTAATACAGATAACAAAATACTGTAACAAGTGAAGCTGTGGAGGTGGGGACCTGTATCTACATGTACAGCACGAGCAGCTGCTCTTAGGCCAGACCAAGAGGCCATGGACGCACAGCTAAAGAGCTGAGAGCAGGAGCTTAGTGGGGCTCAGGAGGAACTGGACCTGAGTGGACTCGGCTCTTGTCTGGTACCCGGGATGTTGGGCAGATGCCAGGAACTCAACGGGTCAACCCAGAGAACCTGGATCTGCCCCACGACCTCGAGCCAAGGGACCATCACAAGCGAGGCCATGTGACCTCGTGGTGCACCGAGCCTGCTGCAGATGCTAACTGCACAGACGTTTGGTGAAAGTGGTTAAAGTTCGTAATGGTCCACGGCTGGGTATCCATTCCTTCCCCTCCAAGACCTGGCCACGTCTATCCTTGCTCCAGGAACTCCGCAAAGACCTGGACCCCTTGTATACAAAGTGCACAGCGTGCCGGCACACCGAGAGACGTACATGCCGTAGTGGGTGACGGAGCTGTAGTCGTACGGGGTCCTTAGGTTGTGCTCATGGGGGGTTGTCTTCACAATGGCATCCACCCAATCTGAAAATAAATATATGAATTTATGACAAGGTCATTAGAGGAATACAGCTTCTCACATTATCACAAAGAGCCAGGGGCAATACTCTCTAACACAGGGGTCCTCAAACTACGGCCCGCGGGCCACATGCGGCCCGCCGAGGACATTTATCCGGCCCGCCGGGTGTTTTTGCCGCCGCTGCCTGTCTGTTACTTTTTTTCTACATGAGAAGGACGGTCATTGGTGGAAGAGGGAGAGGGGGCGGAGTTTCCCCCAATCAGACTGCATTTATGGGCAGTGCAGTCTGTATGTCTCTGTGTGGGCAAAGTTATTGCTGGTATATTGTTTTTGTAGCACTGTATATATATATTGGTATTTTACTAATAGCAATTTTGACTCCCTAGGAAACAATGATGTCAAGAAAGAGAAAAATTTACTCGGAGTGTAGGATATTCAAAGAACAGTGGACTTATGATTACTTTTTCATGCAGTACAAGGAAAGAGCTGTGTGTCTGATATGCCAGAATATAGTGTCTGTGTTCAAAGAATACAATTTACGTCAACACTATGAAACTCAACATAAAGATAAATATGCTTGTTTGGTCGGAGAAGTGAGAAAAGATAAAATATTAAAACTGAAAAATACATTAACAACTCAGCGAAATAGTTTTGTGAAACAGAAGCAGCTAAATATTTCATCACTGCGAGCAAGTTTTCAAGTTGCCAAGCTAATAGCATGCACTGGCAGACCATTCGTGGAGGGAGAATTTGTTAAAGAATGCCTTCTTTCTGTTGCCAAAGAGATGTGTCCAGAGAAGGCCGATTTATTTAGTACAGTGAGTCTTTTAGGACCTACAATTACACGGAGGATTGAAGAAATGGGAGACAATTTGCATCAGCATTTGCAAAACTCCACAAATAAAATTTCCTATTTTTCCTTGGCACTCGACGAAAGCAGTGATGTTCGTGATTCTGCACAACTTCAAATTTTTATTCGTGCGACGAATGACTATTTCGAAGTCACAGAAGAGCTTGCTGCACTGCAAAGCATCATATGTAGTACTAATAACATTCCTGCATTTCCCATAAATATGCTAAATTCCTCTTGATATGCAAATTATTTTGTCAAGGCGCTCTTTCCCCCGTTTCCAACCCAGCTTATATATGCTCCAAGCTCGTGTGCTGTTTCATTCAGACGCTGTCTCCCCGACAGACCTGGTTTTCACCTGAGGACGGCTGCTTGCGTTGTGGCCGAAACGTCGTGAGAATTATTTTATTATGTTTTATTTTTATTATTTTATTACTTCCCTTCTACGTGACTTTACCGAAAGAACCAAGAAGAGAGGATATCTATGAAAAGGTTTGCCAAACTGTGAATGGTTTGGAGCTGAACTGGGCTAAACTAGCCAGTGTGACAACTGATGGTGCTCCTAGCATGGTGGGGTCTAAGAAAGGAGTAATTACTGGCATTAACCAAGAGATGGACAAACATAACCATTCTCATCCAATAGCCATACACTGCCTCATCCACCAACAAGCGCTGTGTAGTAAATCACTGAAGTGGGACTCGGTTATGAAATTTGTGGTATCTTGTGTTAACTTCATTAGAGCTCATGCACTAAACCACAGACAATTTCAGGCATTTCTGTCTGAGCTAAATGTTGACTATGAAGATGTTCCGTATCACACAGAAGTCCGTTGGCTGAGTCGAGGGAGAGTTTTGAAACGTTTATATGACTTACTTCCACAGATTACAGCTTTTCTGCTTTCAAAAAACAAAGAAGTCCCAGAGCTCAATGATGCAGAATGGAAATGGCACCTTGCCTTTCTGACAGATGTAACAGAGCTACTCAACAGTTTCAATGTGCAACTTCAAGGAAAGGGGAAGCTCATCTGTGATATGCAATCACATGTCAAAGCATTTGAAGTAATATTAGGCCTCCTCATCAAACAAGTGAAGGAGGAAAACTTCTGCCATCTCCCCACAACTCAAAATCTGTTAGCGGAAAAACCATTGGTTGCATTCCCAAACAAAACGTGTGGATTCACTGGAAAAATTGCAAAAGGAGTTCCAATTTGGATTTAAAGAGCTTCATCTCCATGAACAGGACATACAGCTTTTCCGTAACCCATTTTCTATTGACATTGAAAATGTGGATACAATTTACCAAATGGAACTGGCTGAACTGCAGAATTGTGACTCTCTGAAAGACGCATTCAAGTCAAGCAGCCTTCATAATTTCTATGCATCTCTCCCCTCTGAGACATATCCTCATCTCAGGAACCATGCACTCAAAATGGCAACCATCTTTGGCAGCACTTATGTCTGTGAACAGACTTTTTCCAGAATGAAACATTTGAAATCTCCAACCAGATCTAGACTAATGGATGCACACTTGCATCACTTGTTACGACTAGCAGTGACAAATATGGAACCGGACATTGACCATCTCATTAGCCAAAAGCAGGCCCATAGTTCCCATTGAAATACTGGCAAGTTTGTTGATTTAACTTTACTTGTTCTTCATTTTAAATATTGTATTTGTTCCCGTTTTGTTTCTTCACTTCAAAAAAAGATATATGCAGTGTGCATAGGAATTTGTTCATAGTTTTTTTTTAACTATAGTCCGGCCCTCCAACGGTCTGAGGGACAGTGAACTGGCCCCCTGTTTAAAAAGTTTGAGGACCCCTGCTCTAACACAACGAACACTTTGGTTGACACCGTTAATTTGACTCATAACTTAGAGCCTTCATCAATCTGCTGTTGGACATTAGCCTATACACACTGTGTCATCATGTGGGTGGGTTGTTTAAGGTGGAGGCCTAGTATCTCGGCCTCGCTGTGCGCTGCGTTGCACTGCTAGTCGAGTAGACAACCATGTGTTCAATAAACCCTCGGAGCCAGGATGACCGTCCAACTCCGATCGTCATTTATTGATTGTAACCGGTAAAACTGGTGAGAAAACACAGATACAGCATCTGTTATAATTCGGAAACACCCACACAATGAACACCACAGCATCAGAACATTGTCTCAAATAACAATAGATCCTGGAAGGACCAGGCCCCAACATTACCCCTGAACAACTAGACAAAGGCACAAGCTGGTGCGTTGCATACAGGCACAGTGTATTCATCCCACTGCACCCCAAATGTACAGCATTACACTTAACACTAAACTGTGGATGAGATACTTCGTCATCACTCTCAGGATCGCAACATAGGCACAAGTCTGACTCGACCTACTAAATCACAAGTAACATCCACAATAAGGAAAGTCACAGGCTTCGTTACTAACTAGGCCTCGTATTTACTACAACAACTTAACGGCACCATAAAGGCATTTACGTTGCTATAACGGTCATTCCAACATTACAACAGAATTTCCAATATTATAAGAATATAAACAACTTACAGATAATGCTTCTTAAGCTCCCACAATGGACAAGTGCGGCTGTGGTCTCACTGAGATGCGATGCGTGCCGCCATCTTGACTTATCTGTGTAATGGCTGACGCCTGCGTGGTACAGTGGAAATCTGACATTGTCACTTCCTGGTCACGTGACCAACATTAGCATAAAAAAACAGGAACTTCCTGTTAACGTACGCTCCCCATCTGCCGTGAGGCAAGACACTTCCCGTCTGGTATCTAGGAGATACCACCATTTATTTCCTATCTCATAAACAAGTGTATAAAAACTTCAATGGGTCGACTTATTTGTCCATATCTTTGCGAGAGAGAAGTAGTACTGTCTCGACTATGGGCCTGATGAAAGTTCTTGCGACACCTTGCTTCGCAATCATAACCTCGACCTTTCGAACTTTTCCATCGGCACTTGGAATCGACTTGAGGATGCGGCCCATTGACCACTCATTCCGTTTGGCTTGGTTGTCCTTCAGTAGGACGAGGTCGCCTTCTTGGATGTCTGGTCTATTAGACTGCCACTTGTTGCGCACTTGGTGTGTCGTAAGGTACTCGTTTTTCCAGCGACGCCAGAACGTGTTCGCGAAGCTCTGCACTTGTCTCCATTGACGTCTGTAGAGGTCTGCAGTGCTGGCCTCCTCGGTAGGTGCTGTGAGCATATCTGTCTTCTGGGTAAGAAGTGTAGCAGGAGTCAAGATGAATGGTGACTCCGGGTCGGTTGAGACGGGGATCAGGGGTCTTGAGTTAATTATGGATGAGACCTCGGCCATGAGAGTGGTCAAGACCTCGTGAGAGAGCCGTGTGGACCCGACATCACATAGCATGGAGTCGAGAATGCGTCGAGTAATCCCGATCATGCGTTCCCAGGCTCCACCCATGTGCGAAGAGTGGGGAGGATTGAAGATCCATGTGCAGCCTTGGTCACTAAGGTATTTCCTGACAGAATAATCTTCGACATTCTCCGTATTGATCTTAAGCTCTTTACATGCTCCTATGAAATTGGTTCCACAATCAGAACGGAGTTGCTTGGCTGGCCCTCTGATGGCGAAGAACCTCCGGAGTGCATTTATAAAGCTCGAAGAGTCCATGGACTCGATGACTTCGATGTGCACTGCTCGTGTACTCATACAGGTGAACAGCACTGCCCAACGTTTGCTGTTCGCGAGCCCTCCTCTGGTGCTGCGAGAGATGACTGTCCACGGTCCGAACACGTCAATCCCTACAGAGGTGAAGGGAGGTTCCACACTGAGTCGATCGGCTGGGAGGTCTGCCATTTTCTGTTCTTCCTGTTTTCCACGTAGCTTGCGACACCGGATACACTTGTGGATTGTGCTGGCGATGCACCTCTTTGCTCCAACGATCAACAGCCCTGCAGATCGGATTGCTCCTTCTGTGAAGTGCCGACCTTGGTGCTTGACCTTCTCTTGGTAGTGGCGCACGAGTAAGATTGCGATGTGGCTCTGGCTTGGGATTATGAGGGGGTTTCGTTCATTCTCATCTAATTTTGCATTCCCTAGCCGACCACCGATCCTGAGCAAGTCGTCTTTGTCCATCCCGGGGTTTAGCTTCCTGAGGGTGCTGACCCTAGGAAGGTCTTCTCTCTTGTTGATGGCCTTGATCTCACTTGCATAAGCTGCCTGTTGCACACAGCGGAAGATTGATTTCCTTGCTCTGGAAAGCTCGTCTTCAGTGCGTGGCACTGTGCAGTGATGCTATCCATTGCAGCTACCAGTGGTGCCTCTCATCGGGCGATGGAAGCAGTCTGCGATATGCGTTAAATGTGCTATCGCTCGCACGAGCGTCGTCCATTTCGAGAAATGTTCAAAATGGTGTGGACTCAGTGGACTTCTTGGTCGCACATTTGTTACGAAAGTTGTCACTAGAGGACGAATCTCCTTGTCGGACTCGGGCTCTATGAGTCCAAAAGTCTCCTTGGTAGTACATGGGCCACCATCACGTCGTAACAGGAACGCTGGACCTGTCAGCCAGATGGTTTGATTCAGCAGAGATGCAGGGACGGACCTAGTTGCGAGATCTGCTGGATTCTGGTCAGTTGGAACGTAATTCCATTGCTCCAGCTGCGTCGATCTCCTGATGCGCTCCACCCGGTTGCTGATGTAGGTGTAGAACCTTCTGGTTTGGTTGTTTATGTAGCCTAGTACGACCTTACTGTCCGTGTAGAACTTGACCGCGTCCAGTTTGACGTCAAATTCGTCTAAGATCAATTCCGCCACCTCTGTAGCAAGAATGGCTCCACACAGCTCGAGCCTTGAGATGGTATGTTCCGGTTGTGGGGCCTTGCCGTGGAACTCCTTCCAGAATTCCCACTCGGACAATAGCTCCGAGTCGAGGAACGGAGAGGCCACGGTCACAGCGACCACCGCCACGACCACCAGCAGAGCGACGAGCAGCGGCTTCACCTTAGTCTTCTTCCCGTCAGTCAGGACTGGATTGGAGAAACGTGGAGGAACAAAATCCAGCGAAGCCGGTGGATGTACGAGGGAAGTTGTGGTCAGCATGGTGGTTTCTTTGTAAGTCTGCACGGTACAGCCTTGACTTCTCTCGCCGAGTTCCACTTTCAGCGTGAAGTGGTTGGGGCACGGTTTGAAGAGCGACGTGCGTCCATTCGTGAGCACACTCGTTCTGAATGTGCTGTGGTCTGGTTTGTGTATTCCCTTCAGACAAACGTCACCTACGATGACCCATCCTAGGTCGAGTCTCTGGGCATAGGGAGCGTCGTGAGGTCCATTGCGTTGGTTACGAACCTTGTGGACTCTCAGCATGTCCCTGCCGAGCAGAAGTAAAATCTGTGCCGCGTGATCCAATGGCGGGATGAACTCTGCTATGGGTTTCAGGTGTGGGTGGTGACGTGCAACTTCGGGCGTGGGAATCTCACTCCTGTCGTCCGGTATCTCGTTGCACTCTGTCACCGTAGGAAGGGCTAGCTTCATAGTGCTATCTATGGTTTCCACCATGAGGCCGCTCGCTCTTCTTCCCGCTGTCTCCATCAGTCCTGAGCATGTTCTGAGCGTGTATGGAAAGGAATTCCCACCTACACTTAGCTGATCAAAGAACTCTGACCTTGCCAAAGACCTGTTGCTCTGGTCGTCCATTATGGCGTACATCCTTACTGCCCTTTCAGGATGTCCTTTGGGATAGACTCGGACGAGGCATATCTTTGAGCAAGATCTTCCTTTGAAGCCTTCTCCACAGACTTCTGTGCATTTGGTTGTGATTGACGAAGTGAGTGCGGCGGTCTCGCCTTGCTCCCCGCCGTGCTCTGCTTCGGGATCGGAAGCCTTAGTGCTACTGGGTTTCGAGTAAAATGTGTGCAGAGCAGTTGCGTGTTTGTCGCTGCCACATTCCTCGCACTTGATATCTGCCTTGCAATTCCTTGCAAGGTGGTTTGTAGAAGCACAGTATTTGAAGCACACTCCAAATTCTTTCAGCATGTTCTTCCGCTCTTCCAATGGCTTCCTCCTGAACTCACGGCATTTCTGGAGGGAGTGAGGTTTATCATGCAATGGGCATTGCTTCTCTGGATCCTCTATCTTTATCTTTGTGGTGGTTGCCTGGACGGAGTTTGCGAATGTCGGAGGAGAGACCTCAGTCTTGTGTACGGAAATTGGCACTCTCGCTGTTCCCCGTTTCGCCGTTGTCCTTTCCATTTTTGGGAGATCTGGACTGGAAATCCCCGTGGTGCCAAACATGAAACTCGGGTCATTTCTAGTCTTAGCCAGGTTGCGGATAAACTTTGAGAAAAAAGAGAATGGGGGGAATGCAACTGGATGCTCTGACTTGTATCTTGAACCCGCTGTTCTCCATTTTTCCTGCACGTCAAATGGCAATTTTTCTACGATGGGGTTCACGCCATGGTAGGTATTCAAGAAAATGAGACCATCAAAAAATCTCCAAGCTCCCGTAACCTTTTATTGTCTCGACCAGAGATTTTTGCAAAGTTCTGCAACTTCTTGAAGAGAGCCTTCTCAATGGTTTCTGGGCTACCATAGCACTCCTCGAGCCTCTCCCACACCGCATGCAGGCTTGAGGCGGGGTCGTCAATGTTTGCTGACCGGATCCTCTTTGCGTACTCTGCGGATTCATTTCCTAACCATTTCACCAACAGGTCGAGTTCTTCACTTGCAGAGATGTCTGCATTTCGGATTACATTCCTGAAGGTAGATCTCCAGGCTCGATAGTTCTCAGAGTGGTCATTAAACTTAACGAGTCCTGTGTTGATTAGTTCGCGGTGAGCCAGGTACCTAGCAAAGTCTCCTAGTCCTGCTGATCCAGGGTGTGTCCATACTGGCGCTTGTGAGGTGGCATTATTGGCTGTATTGCCTAGCATGCCGTCATTTGCGATGGCGTTGGACTGTGGGCCCAAAGGGTTTCGATCACGTTGGTTGGATCCCCTTATGTGACTGTCTGGAATGTGGGTCTGACTTGGTACATCCACGTCTGACCCCACGTTCGCGATGTTGAGTTGGCGACTAACTGCCAGAGTGGGATATGCATTTCCACCATTCCTGTAGACAGCATTCATGTTCATTCGGAGTGGAGATGGCAATGCCTGAACGTCCACCCTTTGTTCAGTATGGTTTGGTGGAGGAGCATTGATGCATTGTTCAGACCAGTCCAAAATATTTTTTCTGGTGAGTTGATCACGGTCCTTGACAGGTATCCGCGTGCCAAACTCGCTCCAATTCTCTTCCTTATCCAGGTTGGCTGCTGCTTCGAGCACCTCTGCCTGGGCCATTGCAGCAGCTGCTTCCTTTTTGAGTTGTAGGGTGCTTAACTTAGCATCCAGCTCAATTTCCTTCCGTGTGGCAGTAGCCACTAATATACTCTCTTGCTCTTCAAGCTCTGCTTTCTTCCGTGTGGCGGTAGCCACTAATATACTCTCTTGCTCTTCAAGCTCTGCTTTCTTCCGCGTGGCGGTAGCCACTAATATACTCTCTTGCTCTTCAAGCTCTGCTTTCTTCCGTGCGACAGCAGTTGCTATGCTTGTTTCCTCCTGCTCTGCTTTCCTCCGTGCGGCAGCAGTTGCTATGGTTGCTTCTTCTTGTATACGAGCCCTTTCAATTAGCATGGCTTCCTCTTCGGCCATGTAGGCAATACGGGCGTTTGCTGCTTCTGCTGCGGCGCGTGCCTGAGCTGCTGCCATACCAGTAGATGATATATGTGAGTGTGCTGAGGCTTTAGATCTTGTGGTGGACCTGGATGAGACAGAGTGCTGAGATCGTGTCTCTCTTAAGCCCTCCACACGGTCCATTGCATCTTGTATCACTGCCTGCACATTATCATCGAGCAGTTCAAGGAAGTGCTCTTGTCTGCGCACTCCCTCAATGCCCTCATCTGTTTTCACCTTCATCAGGAGGGAGATGTATCTATTTGCCAGGAGCTTGTAGCTTGAGCTGCTCACATTCACTCGCTGGATGGCCCGCTGAATTGAGGCCACTGTGTCTGAGGCATTTGAAGCTTCAGATAAATCTGCTTCAACCCGGTTCCATCCCCGTTGTATCCTGGCATCCAGGTCCTGTTTCTCAGCCTCATAGCTTTCCAAGGCCCGTTGCGTCAACCTGACCTCCCTCTGGGGCCTTGAACTCCCTTGGTCCTCTTGAGGCAGGATGGGAGATCCTGGATTGCTTAAATCATCTTCTTCAGCATCTCTCCCTGCTGAACTGTGGCTGTCCATGCTGCGATGCTTGCAACACGATTTTAATGTAGACTCGTTGCAGAGTTCCTTGCTTGCTGCAGGCTGACTGCTTGAGAGCTGGTTGCTTGCTGCAGGCTGACTGCTTGAGAGCTGGTTGCTTGCTGCAGGCTGACTGCTTTAGAGCTGGTTGCTTGCTGCAGGCTGACTGCTTGAGAGCTCTTTTCTTGCTGCAGGCTGACTGCTTGAGAGCTGGCTGCAGGGCTGGTTGGAAGCTTCAAGAAGACTATCTTTTTACTTGGCTGCAGAGAGCTGGCTGCAGCACTGGTTGGGAGCTTCAGGAAGCATTATCTTTTTACTATCTCGGCCTCGCTGTGCGCTGCGTTGCACCGCTAGTCGAGTAGACAACCATATGTTCAATAAACCCTCGGAGCCAGGATGACCGTCCAACTCCGATCGTCATTTATTGATTGTAACAGGTAAAACTGGTTAGAAAACACAGATACAGCATCTCTTATAATTCGGAAACACCCACACAATGAACACCACAGCATCAGAACATTGTCTCAGATAACAATAGATCCTGGAAGGACCAGGCCCCCACATTACCCCTGAACAACTAGACAAAGGCACAAGCTGGTGCGTTGCATACAGGCACAGTGTATTCATCCCACTGCACCCCAAATGTACAGCATTACACTTAACACTAAACTGTGGATGAGATACTTCGTCATCACTCTCAGGATCGCAACATAGGCACAAGTCTGACTCGACCTACTAAATCACAAGTAACATCCGCAATAAGGAAAGTCACAGGCTTCGTTACTAACTAGGCCTCGTATTTACTACAACAACTTAACGGCACCATAAAGGCATTTACGTTGCTATAACGGTCATTCCAACATTACAACAGAATTTCCAATATTATAAGAATATAAACAACTTACAGATAATGCTTCTTAAGCTCCCACAATGGACAAGTGCGGCTGTGGTCTCACTGAGATGCGATGCGTGCCGCCATCTTGACTTATCTGTGTAATGGCTGACGCCTGCGTGGTACAGTGGAAATCTGACACCATCACTTCTTGGTCACGTGACCAACATTAGCATAAAAAAACAGGAACTTCCTGTTAACGTATGCTCCCCATCTGCCGTGAGGCAAGACACCTAGGATCAGCTCATAGATCACTCGTCACTGATGATGGCCATGGTTGGGAATTGAACTGCGCTGTCTGTCCCTCTCACCGGGCTTGACATTGTGGCTCAGCACCCAGACGTGGTCGTCGCGGTCGCTGCGGCAGTGCTCGTGGTGGAAGCCGAGCGCGTGCATCAACTCGTGCAGAACAACGCCCTTGGTCACCTTGCCGGGCTCCAGGGACAGCGCCTGGTCCCCGCCCTGACGGCCCAGGAACGACCAATTCCTGTAGAGACAACCCCAGCCTGAGCACTGAGCCCCATTCACTCACCACTCATCAAACAGAGACAACCCCAGCCTGAGCACTGAGCCCCATTCACTCACTATTCTCCGTGTCTCTGTAGTGTCCGTGTCTCTGTAGAGTCTGTGTCTCTGTAGTGTCTGTGTCTCTGCAGTGTCTGTGTCTCTGCAGTGTCTGTGTCTCTATAGTGTCCGATTCTCTGTAGTGTCTGTGTCTCTGTAGTGTCTGTGCCTCTATAGTGTCCGTGTCTTTATAGTGTCTGTGTCTCTGTAGTGTCTGTGTCTCTGTGTTATTAGTGGCTGCGTATTGTCCGCGTCTCTGTGGGGTGTAGGGAGCTCTGGATAGAGGTAGTACCTTTGTTTTCTGGTAGCTGCACTCAATTTTTGAGTGGACGGAAACACTGGTCCTCATCCATCTCCTAAATCTCTGACGTCTGGCTCCTAGTGCCACACCCCGGTAAACCGCTTCAGCTGGCGGGCTAAACGACGTGAGGGGGTGATGTCAACACTGCATCACTGGGCGAATGAACTCCCACGACGGAGTCACCGGCCAGGACGGAAGGGTCTCGTTAGGACCCAACGGCCAAGTGTTCGGGACCAAGGCGCGTCACTTCGTTACTGTGGACTGCGGCTGTGGCCTACCAGCTATGGTTTGAAATAGCAGGGAAGGTGGATCTCTTCAGCCTTGGAAGGCCGTCTACCTAGGAGAAGGAAACTCTGATGTAAAACCTACGGCCCGAGGACCTCGCTGTCACCGTCCCAGCTTGCTAGGCCATGGCAGACGAACCCCGGGTTTAAAGGGTGGGGTCAGTTCTGCGAACACTGCACTCCACTTGAAAGCTCCTTTGCGCAGGCAAGAAGGAAATCTTCACGTCTACCCCCCCCCCCCCCGGTCTCACTAAGTCCTGTAGCGATGGGAAAGGGGCGAACCCGGCAGGTGTAAGATGACACTGGCAGCCGCAGTCTCAATCCTGCATGCAGGCGGCTCAGGCGCAAGTGGTCGTCTGATGATGACCTGGAAACGACATCATCACCCGGCAGCACCCTGAGCGACCAAGCAGCCTTTTCTAGGGACAGCACTGCTTGCTCCACACGGAGAGGGGCCTAGAAAAGGTGGCCTAAACAAAGCTCGTCTCCTCCTCCCTCAGTTGGCTTACCGCGGTCAACGGGCATCTTCATATGCGGTCGAATTACATCAAAGAATCGACGGCGCATCCCACTCGCCTTAAAAGGTGGGAAAGGACTCAAACTCGCATGCTGGAACATCAGAACCATGCTAGACTCAGCTGACAGCACTCGACCTGAGCGACGATCTGCTCTAATTGCACACGAACTCGCTCTGCTGGATGTTGACATTGCCGCCCTCAGCGAAATCCGCTTTTCAGAGGAAGGCAGTCTGAGGGAGCATGGCGCAGGCTACACTCTCTACTGGTCAGGCAAACCAGCGACAGAGAGACGCCGTTCAGGTGTCGGCTTCATGATCAGGGACTCTATCGCTACCAAGCTTACAAGCCTGCCAACTGGTCACTCTGACCGCATCATCTCAATGCGTCTACCACTTCGTGACCAACAACACGCAACGCTGCTCAGTGTGTACGCTCCAACTCTCCAGGCAGATCCCGCTGATAAAGACAAGTTTTACTCCGACCTACGCAGCCTTCTGCAGGATATCCCAGCTGACGACAAGATTGTCATCCTTGGCGACTTCAACGCCAGAGTGGGCAGAGACTCGGAAACCTGGAAAGGCGTACTTGGAAGGCACGGCGTGGGCAGCTGCAACGACAATGGACGCTTGTTACTTGAACTCTGTGCAGAACAGCAGCTTTCCATTACCAACACCATCTTCCAGCAGAACGACAATCTGAAAACAACCTGGATGCACCCTCGGTCAAAACATTGGCATCTCATAGACTACATCCTTGTGTGCCAGCGTGACCTAAAAGATGTCTTTCACACCAGGGTAATGCCCAGCGCCGAGTGTCACACAGACCACCGTCTTGTCCGCTGCAAACTCAGCTTTCACTTTAAACCCAGACCAAGAAACGGAGGCGCCCCGAGGAAGAAGCTCAAAGTCTGCAGCCTTCAGTCTGCCGCGGTCAAAGCAGCTTTCCAGAAAAGCCTACGATCTAGGCTAGAGGAACCGAGCTGCCTAGGAGACTCGCCTCCGATTCCTGAAGTGCTGTGGGACCGCATCAAAACTGTTGTTCTGCAAACATCTGAAGATACCCTCGGATTCTCCACGAAGAAAAACAGAGATTGGTTCGATGAGAACAACTTAGAAGTCCAGGAGCTGCTGTCAAAGAAGAGATCAGCACACCAGGCCCACCTGGCCCGACCATCCTGCCCGCACAAAAAAGCAGCCTTCCGCCTGGAATGCAGCACCATCCAGCGCAAGCTTCGAGAGATTCAGAACGAGTGGTGGACCAACCTCGCAGTAAAAACTCAGGTTTGCGCTGATACTGGCGACTACAGGGGATTCTACGAAGCCCTAAAAGCGGTATATGGCCCCTCGTACCAAATCCTGAGCCCCCTGCGGAGTGCAGACGGGAAAAAACTGCTCACTGAAAAGGACTCAATCCTGAACCGCTGGTCTGAGCACTTCTACACGCTCTTCAATGCTAGCCGCTCAGTCCAAGAACCAGCGATTGACCGCATCCCACAACAACCAGTGAAAACCGAACTGGATGTGGCACCAACATTACAAGAGACTGAGGAAGCCATTAAACAGCTGAAGAGTGGTAAAGCTGCAGGAGTCGATGGCATCCCTCCTGAAGTATGGAAGAACGGAGGCCCAGCACTGCACACCAAACTCCATGAATTCTTCGTCTGCTGCTGGGAGCAGGGTAAACTCCCTCAAGATCTCAAAGATGCAGTCATCATCACCCTGTACAAGAACAAAGGGGAGAAATCAGACTGTTCCAATTATCGTGGCATAACACTTCTGTCCGTCGCCGGCAAAATCCTCGCAAGAGTACTGCTGAATAGACTGGTACCCGCAATAGCTGAAGATCACCTCCCAGAGACCCAGTGTGGCTTTAGAGCCAACCGGGGAACCACAGACATGGTGTTTGTCCTGAGGCAGATTCAGGAAAAGTGCCGGGAGCAAAACAAAGCACTGTACGTCACCTTTGTGGACCTGACAAAAGCGTTTGACACTGTGAGCAGGCAGGGACTTTGGAAAATCCTGGACAAGCTAGGCTGCCCACCGAAGTTCCTCACCATGATCGTCCAGCTTCATGAAGATCAGCTTGGACAAGTCAGAAATAGCAACAATCTCTCGCAGCCCTTCCCTATTGCAAACGGCGTGAAACAGGGCTGTGTTCTTGCTCCCACGCTGTTCACCATTTTGTTCAGCATGATGCTCCAGCAGGTCACAGAGGACCTCGACGACGCTGATGGCGTATACATCCGTTTTCGTCTCGACGGGAGCGTGTTCAACCTGAGGCGTTTGCAGGCCCACACAAAGACCATGGAGCAACTGATCAGGGAGCTGCTTTTTGCTGACGATGCCGCTCTCCTTGCTCATACAGAGGCAGCTATGCAGCGAATTACGTCCTGTTTCGCGAAAACAGCTCAGATCTTCGGCCTTGAAGTCAGCCTGAGGAAGACTGAAGTTCTTCATCAGTCCGCACCCCATGAGGAGCACCATCCACCAAGCATCTTCATTGAACAAACAGAACTGAAAGCTGTCCACCAGTTCAGCTACTTGGGGTGCGTCATCTCGTCTGACGCCAAGATCGACAACGAAGTCGACAACAGGCTGGCCAAGGCAAACAGTGCATTTGGCAGACTATACAAGCGTGTCTGGAATAACAGAAACCTTAAAAGAGCCACAAAAATCAACGTCTACAAAGCTGTTGTGCTGACCACTCTCCTGTATGGCGCTGAGTCCTGGGTCACGTACCATCGTCACCTGAGTCTCCTCGAGCGTTTCCATCAGCGCTGCCTCCGCACAATCTTCAATATTCACTGGAGTGACTTCGTCGCCAACACTGAAGTCCTCAAGTCAGCGAAGGTCATCAGCATCGAGGCCATGGTCCTCAAAACACAGCTTCGTTGGGCAGGGCACATCGCCAGGATGGAGAACCACCGCTTGCCTAAGATCGTGCTGTATGGGGAACTGTCCTCTGGCCATCGCGACATAGGGGCACCACGAAAGCGATACAAAGACTCCCTGAAGAAGTCCCTCACTGCTTGCTGCATCGATCACCGTCAGTGGGCAACACAAGCAGCTGATCGCAACTCCTGGCGGCACACAGTCCACCAGGCCACCTCGTTCTTCGAAGATACCCGCAGGGCCCGTATGGAGGACAAAAGGAGAAGGAGGAAGAACCATGATCCCTCAGCACCCATCCCAGATGAGACCTTCACTTGCAGCTGTTGTGGCAGGACCTGCTTGTCCCGCATAGGCCTCTTCAGCCACCAGCGTGCCTGCAGAAGACGTGGATGTCCTTCCTAGATCTTCGTTCGCGAAGCCAAGCCATGATGGTGATTGTCCGCGTCTCTGTAGTGTCTGTGTCTCTGTAGTGTCCGTGTCTCTGTAGTGTCTGTGTCTCTGTCGTGTCCATGTCTCTGCAGTGTCCGTGTCTCTGTAGTGTCCGTGTCCCTGTAGTGTCTATAGTGTTCATGTCTATAGTGTTCGTGTCTTTGTCATGTCCATGTCTCTGTCTCACCCGTCCCACGCGTGGATGTAGATGTAGTCGGTCTGGCTGGAGCGAGGGATGAACCGGACGCACGTTTTCTTCTCAAACTCCAACGCCGCCTCCTCGATCTTCTTGACGTCGCCGTTGTCTACACGGGGAGACTCAGGGTCACGTGAGTCGTCACATGTGGGGGTGAGTGGGAGACCAGGGGCAGTAGAGTAGGGGTGAGTGGGGGACCAGGGGGAGTACAGAGTGGGGGTGAGTGGGGGACCAGGGGGAGTACAGAGTGGGGGTGAGTGGGGGACCAGTAGGAGGAGGCGAGGCCACTCACAGAAGGCGACGGACACTTTGTAGGGGACGTAGATTCGGCCGTCCCTGGCCTTGGGCCACTTCTGCACGGAGCGACGCGTGGGGTGGACGGCGATGTCTCCCCACTCGAGCGTGTAGTCTGGGTGAGACAGGACAGTGCCACTCACTCACTGGCACTCACTCACTCACTGGTACTCACTCACACTCACTCACTTGCACTCACACTCACTCACTCACTGAGACACTCACTGTGACAGTGGGATTCACAGCGATGTCTCCCCACTCGAGCGTGTAGTCTGGGTGAGACCGGACAGCGTCACTCACTCACTGGTACTCACAAAGACAAAGATCCCCGTATAGCCTTAATAGACTGTTGGCGCAAGTGCTGTTTGCGAGCACCTATGCAGGATGGAACGGCACACGAGGGGGTGGGTGGCCAGCACCACGCCCGGCCGCCTTTGTCTCCCTTGTCGAGATGTATGCACACCGCACCAAGTACTCATTTTGAGTCGCCCTAGGGGAGGCCCAGGACAGGTTCAGATAATCGTCACTGGTGCTGGTGGCCGTGTGACTACGAATGTTGTTGTTGTTTGAAGGCCTGGCCTCTGCATGGGAGTGTTACGTTTCTGTGAATGCGTTCCAAATATCCGGATGGTGTCTGGGTGCTCCCTGCATTACGATCGCCGTATACGGCACCTACATCTAACGGCTTGCAGACGCTGTCAACCAAGTGGTACTCGTGTGCATCATGGGGAGAGGAGAGTTTAATACAGACTAAGAGACCGTCACACGTGGACAGAGAAGGAGAGGAGGGCCTGGAGCCAGGACTTGGACATGGGCAGGGGGTTGACAGTACGGACGTCTGGGGGAACGCAGTTCCAGACCCTGAGGCAAAGGACAGAGCGGCTTCCCACTTTTCAGATGTTGACTGGGGGATTAAACAGAAGGCCTTGTTGGTGAGCAGAGGGTGTGTGACTGGGAGTAGAGTGAGATGAGAGGGGAGAGGTAGGGGAGTGCATGAAGGGAGTAGAGTGAGATGAGAGGGGAGAGGGAGGAGAGTGTGTGGAGGGGAGTAGAGTGGGATGAGAGGGGAGAGGCAGGAGAGTGCATGAAGGGGAGTATAGTGAGATGAGAGGGGAGAGGTAGGGGAGTGCATGAAGGGGAGTAGAGTGAGATGAGAGGGGAGAGGTAGGGGAGTGCATGGAGGGAGTAGAGTGAGATGAGAGGGGAGAGGTAGGAGAGTGCGTGGAGGGAGTAGAGTGAGATGAGAGGGGAGAGGTAGGAGAGTGCATGGAGGGAGTAGAGTGAGATGAGAGGGGAGATGTAGGAGAGTGCGTGGAGGGAGTAGAGTGAGATGAGAGGGGAGAGGTAGGAGAGTGAGTGGAGGGGAGTAGATTGAGATGAGAGGGAAGAGGTAGGAGAGTGCATGGAGGGAGTAGAGTGAGATGAGAGGGGAGAGGTAGGGGAGTGCATGGAGGGAGTAGAGTGAGATGAGAGGGGAGAGGTAGGAGAGTGCATGGAGGGAGTAGAGTGAGATGAGAGGGGAGAGGTAGGAGAGTGCGTGGAGGGAGTAGAGTGAGATGAGAGGGGAGAGGTAGGAGAGTGCGTGGAGGGAGTAGATTGAGATGAGAGGGAAGAGGTAGGAGAGCGCTTGGAGGGAGTAGATTGAGATGAGAAGGGCGCGGACGACAAGAGTGAGTCCATGGAGGATCTTGAAGAGAGTGGGTGTGATTTGGAGATTGATCTGGGATTGGGTTGGGAGCCAGCGGAGGGATCAGAGGGTCGGGTTGATGTGGTCTCGTGTGCTCGTGTGGTGAGAAGTCATCTGGAGTTTATGGATGAGGAATTCGGGGAGGTAGAAGAGAGAGTTGCAGTAGTCGAGTCGTGATAAGGTGAAAGTATGGGTGAGGGTGGGCGAGGGTGGGTGAGGGAGGGTGAGGGTGGGTGAGGGTGGGTGAGTATCTCAGCAGCAACTGTGGTTAGGGAAGGTGGAGGCAAGGGATCTGGCAGAGTGGAGCTTCGTGTGTAGAGAACAGAACGCGATGATGAATCTGGGGCTCTGCACCCTCTATCCCAGTGCCTTGTGAGTGGTTATGAGGAGCGCGCTCACACCGGAGTCTTTGCCGCCGAGGAGGACTTCACCGTGAACATTTGCCTGGAGAAACGTCGATTTGCCCCAAGGTGCGAGTGAAGGCAGCGGGTGAGAGTGGCGATGGGGTTGGGTCAGGGAGTCCGTGACAGCGCAGGGCCGCGTGCCGCCAGCGCGGAGAGGGAGGAGACTCACAGAGCCCAGCGGGGAGCCCACAGCACGGGGGCAGTGAGGACCACACCACTGAGGGGATTGTAACTGAGGGGATTGTAACTGAGGGGAGTGTAACTGAGGGGAGTGTAACTGAGGGGATTGTGACTGAGGGGAGTGTAACTGAGGGGAGTGTAACTGAGGGGATTGTAACTGAGGGGAGTGTAACTGAGGGGAGTGTAACTGAGGGGATTGTAACTGAGGGGAGTGTAACTGAGGGGAGTGTAACTGAGGGGAGTGTAACTGAGAAGAGTGTAACTGAGGGGAGTGTAACTGAGGGGATTGCAACTGAGGGGAGTGTAACTGAGGGGATTGTAACTGAGGGGATTGTAACTGAGGGGAGTGTAACTGAGGGGAGTGTAACTGAGGGGATTGTAACTGAGGGGATTGTAACTGAGGGGAGTGTAACTGAGGGGATTGTAACTGAGGGGATTGTAACTGAGGGGAGTGTAACTGAGGGGATTGTAACTGAGGGGAGTGTAACTGAGGGGAGTGTAACTGAGGGGATTGTAACTGAGGGGAGTGTAACTGAGGGGAGTGTAACTGAGGGGATTGTAACTGAGGGGATTGTAACTGAGGGGAGTGTAACTGAGGGGAGTGTAACTGAGGGGATTGTAACTGAGGGGATTGTAACTGAGGGGAGTGTAACTGAGGGGATTGTTACTGAGGGGATTGTAACTGAGGGGATTGTAACTGAGGGGATTGTAACTGAGGGGAGTGTAACTGAGGGGATTGTTACTGAGGGGATTGTAACTGAGGGGATTGTAACTGAGGGGATTGTAACTGAGGGGATTGTAACTGAGGGGAGTGTAACTGAGGGGATTGTTACTGAGGGGATTGTAACTGAGGGGATTGTAGCTGAGGGGATTGTAACTGAGGGGAGTGTAACTGAGGGGATTGTAACTGAGGGGAGTGTAACTGAGGGAAGTGTAACTGAGGGGATTGTTACTGAGGGGATTGTAACTGAGGGGATTGTAACTGAGGGGATTGTGACTGAGGGGATTGTGACTGAGGGGATTGTAACTGAGGGGATTGTGACTGAGGGGAGTGTAACTGAAGGGATTGTAACTGAGGGGATTGTAACTGAGGGGAGTGTAACTGAGGGGAGTGTAACTGAGGGGAGTGTAACTGAGGGGATTGTAACTGAGGGGAGTGTAACTGAGGGGATTGTTACTGAGGGGATTGTAACTGAGGGGATTGTAACTGAGGGGATTGTGACTGAGGGGATTGTAACTGAGGGGATTGTGACTGAGGGGATTGTAACTGAGGGGATTGTAACTGAGGGGATTGTAACTGAGGGGATTGTGACTGAGGGGATTGTAACTGAGGGGAGTGTAACTGAGGGGATTGTAACTGAGGGGAGTGTAACTGAGGGGATTGTTACTGAGGGGATTGTAAATGAGGGGAGTGTAACTGAGGGGATTGTAAATGAGGGGAGTGTAACGGAGGGGAGTGTAACTGAGGGGAGTGTAACTGAGGAGATTGTAACTGAGGGGATTGTAAATGAGGGGAGTGTAACTGAGGGGATTGTAACTGAGGGGAGTGTAACTGAGGAGATTGTAACTGAGGGGAGTGTAACTGAGGGGAATGTAACTGAGGGGAGTGTAACTGAGGGGAGTGTAACTGAGGGGAGTGTAACTGAGGGGATTGTAACTGAGGGGAGTGTAACTGAGGGGAGTGTAACTGAGGGGATTGTAACTGAGGGGAGTGTAACTGAGGGGAGTGTAACTGAGGGGAGTGTAACTGAGGGGATTGTAACTGAGGGGAGTGTAACTGAGGGGATTGTAACTGAGGGGATTGTAACTGAGGGGAGTGTAACTGAGGGGAGTGTAACTGAGGGGGTTGTAACTGAGGGGATTGTAACTGAGGGAATTGTAACTGAGGGGAGTGTAACTGAGGGGAGTGTAACTGAGGGGATTGTAACTGAGGGGAGTGTAACTGAGGGGATTGTAACTGAGGGGAGTGTAAGTCGTCTCTGCACTAGGCATTGTTCAGTCCCTCCAGAAAAACGCGGAGTTTTTTGGTGATTGTTGCGGGCAAAAATCGTTGATTATGCGGCACGTTTTCTTAAAAAATGCGATGGAATATGCGGGATATTTATGCAATTTTATGCGATTAAATTGCGGGAACTTGCAAAAATTGCGGGAACTTGCAAAAACTGCGGTTTGATGAAAAAGAGAAAAAAAAGTGATTCCCACAACACCCTATTCACTAGGCTACTACTTTAATGTAAAGAGTCATTTCTTATTACTTCCTATGATAAGCAAGCATACTACATCACAGAAAGTGCTGGGAATATTTAAGTTCTCATCTTGTTTTATTTCAGACCTTAACAAACAGATGGCTCAAACTTACAAAACATTGAGTCGAACAAGTTCTGTAGCTTTACAAAATGAATATGCTACAACTTCTGTAAAAATGAATAAATAAAATATTAAAAAATAAAATGTGTGCTTCCTGTTTTACAGAGGTAGCTATACAAAACAGACATCTTCTGTTAAAATAAGTGTTTTCAGTGCACAGTAACGTAAGCAATACAGTAACAGTACAGTCTTACAGTAATGTAAATTTACATACTACTAACAAAAAAGTGCAATCTTACAACTGTAAAGTTGCATAAACTCCTGAATAAAACTAACTACGTAGTCTCTAACACTTCATAACGTTCCCATGGCAACAGGGGAAATGGCTGCGCTTGTGTGAAGTAAACGCAACATTTTTCAACTTTCTGCTAAGATATATGTGACTTTTTGCAACGAAAATGCGGGGATTATGAAATCATGCAAGCCCGCATATTTTGCGCGCGGAAATCTGCAATTTATGCGGCGAAAGTGCGGCGTATTTGAAAAAACGCGCCCCCCGCATAAATATGCGGACTTCGGCTGATTTTGCATGGAATCATGCGATCGCATAATCGCGTTTTTCTGGAGGGACTGATTGTTGTGCTCCATCAAGAGGGACTACAACTGGACTCGCGTTGCGTGCTGCGCTGTGTCATTGTTTATCTGTGCTGTTTTGGCTGTTGCTGCGTGGAATGCTCTGTGGGCATTAAACCATTTTGCAGGCAATTCAAGATGCGAAGTAATGTTGGGTGCATAAAAAATATTATATAATGATGCTGGTGATGTTAAATTTAATCATTAACATCACCTTTTATAGACTTTAAACGGTGAGGATGGGGGCTTTAGGGAGGGTGGGTCAACATTAATTAACGCACTGCAAGCACACACAGCACACAGCACGCACAGAACGCACAGCACACACAGCACACAGCACGCACAGCACACAGCACGCACAGCACGCACACCACGCAGCACGCACCCACACAGCACGCACCCACACAGCACGCACAGCACGCACACCACATAGCACGCACACCACACAGCACGCACAGCACGCACAGCACAGCATGCACACTGTGTAAGTGTTTACTGTGAAGTGAGCAGGGTCAGAGTTCACAGTGAGGTGTGCAGGGTCAGAGTTCACGGTGAGGTGGGGGCAGGGCGTGATGGGAATGCTCCTCACCTCGTTTCTCCACCTCCACCTTCAGCTTCTCCCTGAGCTGCACAGTGGAACAAACAACACAGAGAGAGAGAGTGAGAGAGACTCATGCACACTAAGACAGAGAGCATCACTACAGCAATGACTCATGCACACTGGCACAGAGTGCATCACCACAGCAGTGACTCATGCACACTGAGACAGAGTGCATCACTACTGCAGTGACATATGCACACTGACACAGAGTGCATCACTACAGCAGTGACTCATGCACACTGAGACAGAGTGCATCACCACAGCAGTGACTCATGCACCCTGAGACAGAGTGCATCACTATAGCAGTGACTCATGCACCCTGACACAGAGTGCATCACTACAGCAGTGACTCATGCACACTGACACAGAGTGCATCACTACAGCAGTGACTCATGTACACTGAGACAGAGTGCATCACCACAGCAGAGACTCATGCACACTGAGACAGAGTGCATCACTACAGCAGTGACTCATGCACAGAGACAGAGTGCATCACTACAGCAGTGACTCATGCACACTGAGACAGAGTGCATCACTACAGCAGTGACTCATGCACACTGAGACAGAGTGCATCACTACAACAGTGACTCATGCACACTGAGACAGAGTGCATCACTACAGCAGTGACTCATGCACACTGACACAGAGTGCATCACTACAGCAGTGACTCATGCACACTGACACAGAGTGCATCACTACAACAGTGACTCATGTACACTCACACAGAGTGCATCACCACAGCAGTGACTCATGCACCCTGAAACAGAGTGCATCACCACAGCAGTGACTCATGCACACTGAGACAGAGTGCATCACTACAGCAGTGACTCATGCACACTCACACAGAGTGCATCACCACAGCAGTGACTCATGCACACTGATACAGAGTGCATCACTACAGCAGTGACTTATGCACACTCACACAGAGTGCATCACCACAGCAGTGACTCATGCACCCTGAGATAGAGTGCATCACTACAGCAGTGACTCATGCACACTGACACAGAGTACATCACTACAGCAGTGACTCATGCACACTGAGACAGAGTGCATCACTACAGCAGTGACTCATGCACACTCACACAGAGTGCATCACCACAGCAGTGACTCATGCACACTGACACAGAGTGCATCACTACAGCAGTGACTCATGCACACTCACACAGAGTGCATCACTACAGCAGTGACTCATGCACACTCACACAGAGTTCATCACCACAGCAGTGACTCATGCACACTCACACAGAGTGCATCACCACAGCAGTGACTCATGCACACTGAGACAGAGTGCATCACTACAGCAATGACTCATGCACACTACAGCTAGACGGCCATCACCACGGCATCACGATGCGTCTCTACGACTGGCCCTGTGACTCCTTAGTGTTAGATCCACTGCTGTGCACTGGAAAAGGTGGAAGGTTCTGGTGGTGCACGCTGACGTCTCCTCTTCAGATCGCTCTGGAGGAGCTCCCAGCTTTCACAGCGTCGCTGTGGGCCACAGCCGCGGGTCCCACGGAGCCGTGGTTCCGGGCCGAGTCTCAGGGCAGCGCGCTGCCATCCCCTGTGATCGGCCCCCGCTCGGGCACAGCGACGGCCCTGGTCAAGCGTCTGCTCTCCACGGCGGCGTCTTCAATCAACGTCCGTTACTTTCTGAACGTCCGCCCTCTCCTGCAGCTCAACGTTTGTATTGTTCTCTCTTCGCTGCATTGTTTTGCCATTGTCATGTTTTCACATCCACACTCCCTCGTCATATTTCTGTTCCTTTACAAAGTTATTTTCTCTTTACGTTGATTCAATGCCATTGTCAGATTGGGATTGTTCTAGACTTGATATCAGCATTGTTGACTTGATGCTGAGGTATTGGTGATGTGTCGCTGATATCACACGGTGGAGGGAGGCAATCGGAGCCCACGTGACCCATGCCTTCCCTCATCATGGCTCAAGAGCCCCGATAAATAGTGCGGTGCTGTGGGGTGAAGAGGTGGAGTGGGGGCAGGGGGTGGAGGGATGGAGCCTGAGCCATGGAGCTGCCCTTGGGCAGAGACCCCGAGGGACGCAGCAGTGAGCAGTGGGATGGCCGTCCACACAGCTCCTGTTCCCCGGCATGGACACCACCAGGGGGCTGCACGGATTCTGACGCGAGCCTCCCCTCGGCCGACTCAACCTACAGTGGGCACCACGTACGGCCCTGCCCATGCAGCGCAAGCGCCGGAGAGACAAAGGTGGTGAGCACGACGTAGGCTCCGTGCTGCACTGACCTTTGTAGTTGCTTGCTCATGGCATTCACCTACTCAGGCTGACCGTTATGAAATGGCCATCATTACGAGCAGAGTGTATAACGTGCGTTTGTATTCATATACAGTAAAACCTTGGATTGCGAGTAACTTGGTCTGCGAGTGATTTGCAAGACGAGCACATTTTTAAAATAAATATTAATTTGATAGACGAGCGAGGTCTTGCAATACGAGTAGTACGTGTATACGCTTTGTCTGCCGAGCGTCACGTGATCACAACTGATATACAAGTGCTTTGATATACGAGTGTTTTGGATTACAAACACGTTTCCAGAACGAATTATGCTCGCAATCCAAGGTTTTACTGTATTCTATGAACGTTATGCACGTGATAAATGAATGAATGTTGCAAACTGTGCACTCCCAGGTTTCCCTGGCTAGGCCTCACCTTCGGGATGAGCTCCTCCAGCACCTTCTTGTCCAGACTTGAGCTCGCCCCCTCCGTCTAGAAGCAGAGCAGAGATGAGTCACCCTGTGTCTCAGTGATCCATGGGAGACAGAGATACCGCGTTATTGTTTGCTGTTCCTGTACTGCTATTGTCAATATATGCTTGGTATGTAATGGCCATTGTTTAAAGTGCACAGCTGATACATTGACTGTGTTGCTAGAAGCTGTGTAGACTCATCCCCTGTGTTGCTGGGCCCCGCTCTGCTCTGCTAGAGGAGACGTTTGGTGGCGTTAGGCTCCCCCGGTGTTACTTGAGGGGGGCCCAGACCAACCGAGCCCCCCACCACCCCACCGAGTCCCCACAGAGACTCTCCCAGCCGTGCGCTGTGCTGAGTGATGGCCGCTCGCAGCGAGGGGGCTGACGGGGACCGGTGGCGGCGCGGTCGCCGCTTCGTGCGGAGCCTCGGGGTTTGATCGCAGGGGCCGCCCTGGTTAATACCGCAGGAGGAGTCACCAAACGTGCACGCGGCCTGCTTCACGGAGGACGTTAAAGATCCGCGATTGTAAACCAGCGGTGATGCGAGCCGGCGTCACGGTCCGACTCTGAACATCGCTCGCAAGTGACCCCACGTAGTGCCGGGGGCTCTGTGCACCGTGACCCAGCGCTGTGGAGGCGAGGGTTGGCGGATCGCACAAATTAGTGAAACTCCCACGGGAGCCAGGCCACCACCTCCTGGCTTGCCAGGGGATGGCAGCATAAGTGGATTAATTTACATCTTAAACAACTACGCTGGTTTGGTCGTCTGCGTGCGTATCTGGACGTTAATTTATTTACGGACCCGCCCAAACAGCTCGCTCTGATTCGATGAAAATAAAACAGCCGGCAAAAAGCCACAGCTCACTTTGATTCGATAAAAATGAATAATTAACACGCCCGGAAAAGAGCGATAGCATAGGTTTGGCAAGGTCTGCGCCGCAGTGCTGCAGTGCACAGTGGGCGCAGACCCTGCGCTGTGTGAGTGTGGTGTGTATGCAAGTGTGCGAATGGTAGTTACGCTAATATTACATATATTTATGTAAAAAATGGGTGCTGAGTGCTGCGATTAGTGGAGTCCCCAAACAACTTTACCTTACGAGTAGGCAGGGGTTGCTATACAGTGAGTCTTCGCTGGCAGCTTCACCTGCCGGGACCACGGCCAATTGCGTAGCGCCCCCTACAGTTTCGCCCATGGGTCAATACCCCCATCATGGGGCAACCGAGCTGAATGTTTGATAGGTACAATGGGTTATATCCGGCTTATTACCATTATTATGTATTGACGATGATCACGTCTCCATGGACGGCTTGCTGTCTACTTCGGTTGTGTAATTGAGATTTTGTGCATGCTGGTGATGGTAAGGGCATGTGTTGCATAATATGCAGCATGTGTCCGCGTGTCATGTTTGCCACGGATGTAGTTGGCGTTACTGTACATTTATCATGTTTTGGAGTGCCAATCCTATGCACTTTGAAATGTAATAAACTGTCTAAAAAGGTTGCAGCCCGGCCCCCGCTGCTGTCACTCTCTGGCCATTGCACAAGCCATATCGGAATTTGCGACATGCTAAAACAATAAGTACAGTGTGACACCACCCGGGTAACTCCCGGGATCAAAATGGCCATTGGAAAGTCATCGCTTTATTGAGATGATTATGGTACTACCACAGGGTATTGTGAACGGTTCAGGAGGAGGAGAGGTCTGGATTTGTAAGTCTCACAGTACCGGTAAGAAGCGCCGGGTGGGGGATACCCTCCACTGGGGTACAAATTCTGTCATTATTAGTATACGATCATGCAATGTTTCTATCTGCAAGCTGTCATAACTCAAACGATCCCCGTTATTGTTCGATTGAGAAATGGAGTGACCCACACCTCTGATACCATATGTGAGGAACCCAAAAATATGATGCATGCATAAAACACCCATAATGGGAATACTTAAACGTAAACGTAAAAACACCAACAAAATACATTTTAATATAAGAAAAAAATAGGTGGCCCCATAGCGCATCTGTCTGTGTGTGTACATACAGACGGAGGATGCAGGGGCCAACCTGTGTGCGATCAGAACGGTGCAATTGCTGACCAATGTCACTGTGGATGGCGCACACGCTGACGCACACCTGAGCTGTGTCTTTGCGATGCAAGGGCATGGTGGATGGTGGAGCGCATATGGATGGTGCGTTACGAATAAAATAAAACAAAACAAACCGCTGGAAGCAGCCATGCGAGCAGGCTACCTTGAGAGCGATCGCGAATGGGTTGCGTGTCTGGAAGAAGCCTCGCTCTTTCAGATGCCGTACCAGTTTCGTCAACTCTTCGCTACGATTCTGCTGTATTCCATGCCAGCAGATACGAAGGCTCTCTGGGATAAATTCTACGACGAATTGGCTCGCGATTACGAGTACCAGTACCGCCAGCTGACCAACAAAGAAGAAATGGTAAATCTTCTTGGTTCTTTCGGTAAAGTCATGTAGAAGGGAAGTAATAAAATAATAAAAATAAAACATAATAAAATAATTCTCACGACGTTTTGGCCACAACGCAAGCAGCCGTCCTCAGGTGAAAACCAGGTCTGTCGAGGCGACAGCGTCTGAATGAAACAGCACACGTGCTTGGAGCATATATATAAGCTGGGTTGGAAGGGGGGGAAAGGGCGCCTTGACAAAAACATTTGCATATCAAGAGGAATTTAGCATATTTATGGGAAATGCAGGTATGTGATTAGACTACCTATGCCCGTGCATTATGCATGATTCGCAGCATCAAAGGGAGGGGATATGGGTAATGCAGGTATGTTATTAGTACTACTTATATCCGTGCATTATGCAGGATTAGCAGCATCAAAGAAAATAAAAGAAATGGTAAAGTTCAAGACCCTTCACAGCCTCCACGAGTTCCTCACGGCAGGTGGGATGGCTCTGTCGGACTTTGACGACCTCCCGCAGCTTTCCGAGTACCCACACTTGGTCTTGGACTCGCTGCTTGAGAACAACCATATCCGCCGCGAATTGGACACGAAGGACTTTCCATTTCGACTTCGGCGCAAACAGTTCCTTATTGTCCCAGCCTTCGCGATGACCATCAACAAGGTGCAAGGGCAAACTGTTCACAACCTGGGATTATATCTACCAACGCCATGCTTCTCGCACGGCCAACTGTACGTGGCACTATCGCGAGTCACGGCAAGATCCAACATCAAGGCGCTTATTGAGGGACCTGACGACGAGGAGGAAGACGGAGTGTACACGAAGAATATCGTGTATCGCTAGATATTTCAATAAGTTGCATTCTATATTTGAATAAGTTGCATTCTTTAATATTGTCGATTGAGCGTCTCATAAAAATTCATATAACCTCACAAAAATAAACATAAAACAATCACCAAAACATGTCTATTGTGTCCAGCCACTTTCAACTCCCCACCAACCAAGTATATACACACCGCCCGCGAAGCGGGCGGCGACTGCTAGTCTGTCCCATCTGTACAGGGAATGAGTGTTACCACCCTCTAAACGAAGTAATATCTTATCTAAACAAAGTAATCCTCCATCGAAACAAATACATTTCTCATCTAAAACAAGTAATATCTCATCTAAACAAAGTCATCGCTTACATAAAGAAGATAATCTCTTATCTAAACAAATGAATGTTTCTTCTAAACCCAGTAAACACACAGATCTACTGTCTGTGAGAATCTGGATAGAGTCACTCTACTCAGTCACATGGAGTGACTCGCAGAGTGGAGCATCTGGGATGTTCACAGCTGCCACACCAACCACGTGGGGATCAGGTTCAGCCAAGTAACCAGATTTGTATGAACGTTGTGATGCTGTGTAGACGTGAGTGTAACTGTAGACGTCTTGTAAATATCCAATCATCAAAAGCAGCGCAGTACATTATCCTGCATCCATGTTACGCTTTATGTGCACCTGCAAGTTATGATAAACAATTATAAAATATTTGTTTTGTAATTCCTTAAGCATGATATCTAAAGTTGTTCTAGATTTGAAGCTTTCGTGACTGCAAGGATTCATATTCTTAGGTTTTTTCGGTAAAGTCACGTAGGTAAAAACATCAAAATTAATGAAAATAAAATAAAACAAAAAATCACGACGTTTCGGAGGCAACACAAGTCTCCGTCATCAGGTGGGACCGTCACAGCCGAATTAGCTGCATCAAGTGAGGCAATGATTCAAGATGTAATCCCTTATAAGCAAGTTGAAGGGGGGAGGAGAGGGGGGGGGAGCTCATCAGAATGTGGTAGCCAATGAATGGAAACGTATCGGGAGGGAGGGGGGCGGGGCTCAAAGACAGCACGGAGTGCTCAACACATGGGGCAGAGAGGGGGAGGGGAGGCCTGATACACATGATAGACAAAAGAACGAAAATGCCCCTGTTTATACCAAGCAAGTTGAAGGGGGGGAGGAGAGGGGGGGGGAGCTCATCAGAATGTGGTAGCCAATGAATGGAAACGTATCGGGAGGGAGGGGGGCGGGGCTCAAAGACAGCACGGAGTGCTCAACACATGGGGCAGAGAGGGGGAGGGGAGGCCTGATACACATGATAGACAAAAGAACGAAAATGCCCCTGTTTATACCAACGCTGGCTGAACAATGAAGAGAGTACTGTTAAAAAATAACTGGGGATGTTAACACTCGGTAAAGTAAAGTAAAATAGTGCCTGTCAGATAAGATGGTCCAAAAAAGTGTAATTAAGTCTTTTTTGCGTGGTTGATAACATCTTTCCAATGATTACTGAGTTTGTACCCATCATCACGGTTGAAATAATGTCTGTGTTTGTATATTTGTATGGCTTCGTGTACAAACCTTTGATGGTAGCCGGGAGGTTTGCAGAGAACCTTGGTCTCGGAAAAGACAATTTCATGAGAGCCCACAGAGTTGTAGCAATGATCGGCAACGGCAGAAGAATCAGTTCTGCCGTGTTTCAGATCTGACTTGTGCTCGCGGACACGATCAGAAACATGACGTTTCGTTTCTCCAATGTAGCAATCCCC